CCTCACCCTGTCTTACCTTCTGCCATTGCAAGGTGCTTTCTTGGATTTCTCCGTAGTTGTATGGCTTGCTCATCTATATCCCAGGCGATTTTTCCTTGCTGCTCACTCCTTGTTTCCATTACAACTTTGATTTGGTCACCAGAGGGATGAACAAAGACTCTATCATTTACGCCATTTTTTTCCCTCCAATATGTACAAGTTTTTGTACAGTCACGTGGTTTTCTCTCTCAGGTATCTTATTTTGAATTACAGTACAGTAGTCCCCACCATCCACAGTTTGTTACTTGTAGTCAACTGTTGTCCAGAAACATAGTAAAGAATGTCTGTTAGTCTCATATTCACTTACATAGTTCTTTCCAAATGTAGCTAAAATCATAGCACAATCATGGGATCTCCAGGGTCTTTATTGAAGACCCTCTGGGACCCCACCCCCCCAACCCCAAACCTAAAAATTGTGGTGGAGAGGCAAGGATACCATGGTTGAACAGCTGGCCTAACCTTGGGCATCCCATGTGCAAACGTTTCCTTTTTGGATGCGAGAATGAGGGTGCTCTGAAGGCAGTCCTTGGGTCAGGAGCTTGTGGATCCTGAGCACCCCCATCCCTTTGCTCCCACTGTCTACTGTGTGGCCTCAGAAAGGTAACTTCCCCACTAGTCCCCAGTCTTCCTGTTAATGTAAGGATAGTAGGCTAGATGCTTTAACTTAGCTCCTGGAGATCTAACCTGAACCCCCAGCTCCTTCTCCCTGGGTTCTTAGTGCAACTCAAATCCCTGCAATTCATTCAGTCCAGGAGGGGAGCCTGCATGAGAGAGGGTGAGGAAGGAGGAGTGAGAGAGGGAGGTGCTTACACACTTGCATGCATGCTTGCACCTCATATACACAGATCTGGCCAGGAAATGAGACACCTGGATTCCCCCATGTTACCACTGCCCCAAACACAGGGGATGGGGAGCAAAGCCAGTCCCTGGCCTTCCCCTTTGCCCAGAGTCTCTCTCTGGCCCTGCACCCTGTGGGACCTGGGGTCTCCTTACCCAGCCTGTGGAGCCAGGCTCCCATTAAGACACTACTGCTGCTGTCACTCAGGTCACCTCTCCTCATTAGGGTGCAGGCATAGGCACTGCAAGTGAGTGTCTCCCATCATCTTGGCCACACCCTTCTTGGGAGCCAATTGCTGTTATGAGCTGGGCAAGGGTTTGGAAAGAAGGGGAGATGAGGTCGGCTGGTGGAAGTGGGCTGGGAGAAGTCCAGGAGCAAGCCAGAGTGAGCAGCGAGGATGGCTTAAGCACCCTGAAGGATTTCTCCTGGGTGGGGCCAAAGTCATAGAGGGCCAGTCTAGGACTGAAAGTCTAGAAATTAGGAAGAAGGAAGGGACCTCCACCAGTATGAGGACTGCTCACTGCTCCAGACCCTTTGTATGCAGGCACACTCATCCACCACACTCCAAAGAAGCAGCACTTTCATAGGTGAAATCCACTGAGAGGTTCAGGAAGATTTGTCGCTGGCCTAGGTACACATAGCTGGAAATAAAACCACAGGCTTTGTGAATATTCATTGGCTGAAGGTATGTGCTCAGAAGCTTGACCACAGTAAATTAACCATTTTTCTGGGAGAAAAAGTGATTGGTGCTCAGATAGCACAAGATAAATATCTTTAGAAAATGACTGCTATAATTTAAATTTTAAAAAAATTAGCTTTATTAAATATCACCAATTTTAATCCCACAATTCATGTTGGAAAAATGCATACAGTAACATAACCACTTCCACAGTCAAATTATACAACATTGCACCATCCCTTTGCAATCAATCTCGACCCACACCCCAGTTGGGGAGGGGACAGGACAGACCCAGGAGTGAGGAAGCGGGGATAGAGGAGGAGCTGAAGGCTAGACTCCACTGGCAGGCTCTACCTGCCCCATCTTTACACCCCGAAGGGAAGGCTTGTGATCACCATTTGCCCCCCAGGTGGACCCTACTGACCAGGTAGTGAGTGGCTGGCTCAGGGGCGTACAGTCAGACCACAAGAAGGAAGTCCTGACCCCAGGTATCCTAGCTGCAAACCTGAGGCTTCTCCTCACCCAAGAAAGGGTGATGGTCAGTGCTGTCCCCTGCAGGAAGCCTTCCCTAGTTCTTGTGGGCACACTGGCCCCTCTCCTGTCCTCTGGAAGCCTGGTCTTAGGGGTACCTCAGGAGGGTCTCAGCTCAAAGGCCAGGCTGAACCTGGCAGATATGGCTCAGGCATGTGACTGGACTCACCAACCTGCCCTCCCCAGAGTCCCTGTCCCACACCCATCTCAGTGTCCTGTGGTCTCTACAACAAATCAGATGGACATAGCATCAGCTTCCCAACTTGAGGCAGCCCTTCCTCACTAGCCCACTCTCCCCAATGTCCCTGTCCCTAACCCATGACCAGGTCCCATGGTCACCACTGCATATCAAATGGGCACAGCACTAGCTGCCCAGTTCAGGGCAGCCCTTCCTAACTGTCCTCTATTTGACCTTCGATTACTGAGCTGATTATAGCCCTATGGGAGGGGCTGGGACTTTCCTGTCCCCACCCACCCCCAGCTACTTGACCAACTCCAAGTCACAGGCTGGGTGGGAGGGTCCCTTCAGGTCAGCAATTCCCTCTTACATGTGGGGAACTGAAGACAAGAGGAGTTTGCCTGGTGATCCACCAGGACTCAGCTTCTCGGCACACAACTTATCTCACCAGCACCTGGCCCAGAGCCTTGACTCAAAAGTGTGTGCGCCATGTTTGACCTGATGATGAACAGGGGTGACACTTGCACCATCTTTGTGTGTGGAGCTGCGCTGGACCCGTGACAACCACACAGGGAAGGGGACCTGTGGAGCTCAGGCCACCCCCTCCAGGCTCCAAAGGGCCTGATGTCACCTATCATGGGGGCACGGTTGGGAGAGTCTGGAGGAACCCAGGTCCTCTGTCTCCTGAATCCCCGAGGGCCTTCTCCAGGTACTCGCTAGAGATTTCAGAGCCCTCACATGTCCCAGCTCAGTTCACTCCCAGCATTGGGACCCCTCTTCCCACATACGTGGCTCCCTGCAGGGTCCTCAACACCCCCAGGATTCCAGGCTTGCTCTCTGAGCGGGAAACTCCGAACACCATGCACGTGGTCTCCACAATAACTCTGATATGGTCTCATTTCTGTTCCCATTTAATAGGAGAGCAAACCAAGGCACGGGGAGGGGCGCCCTGCCTGGAGTGCCCCCTATCCTTGCCCCAGTGGGGGTTTCCCGCAGCCCAGTGATCATGGGCCATGTGGGCCTGCATGGCAGCCCCCGCGGGAGGACCCCAGCAGGCACAGGGAGGGCTGCCCCTCCCCTCCAAAGCCACGCTGGACCAGCGGAAGGCCAGTTTGATCCTCCCTGATAACCCAACGCTCACTTTTATCTGTCACCTGCCACATGACTGAGCTGGCTGAGCTCCTCAGGATTCAGGGCCAGATAAGAGGAAACGGGGGGGGGGTATGGGGCTTCCTCCCTGCTCCCCTCCAGTAGGGGTCTCACCCACAGGCTCCACCCATCCATCTTTCCCTGGTCCACCTCCACCCAAGGGCTTCTTGTCCCTCGGTGTCCCCCAGCACGATCTGCATGTGGATAGTCTAAATGTGCTTGTGTAAGGTTAGCAATGCAGAGAGGGCACGAGGGAGGAAGGAGGGACAGGTTCAGTCCATCCGTCTTTCACGTTCCAGGATGGGCATGTATTACAGCTACAATAAAATAATTAAAGATGAAAATGAGGAGGGTGAGCGCCTCTCCCACCACGGTTTCCACAGCAGTGAGGGCACAGGGTGAGTGGGGGCAGAGGCCCTTCCCACTCAGATCCGCAGAGTCTACACCGCGGGGAGCAGAGCTGCTGGCTTATGGGAATCTGTGCCCAAGAGACAGCCTGAAGAGACATGTCCAATGCCTGGGGACA